CATTTCGTTTTTTCTGCCTAAGTGTAAGCCTCCAAAATGGGTCCCCAATGGGTCACTCAGGCTCACCATCTTTTCATCAAATAGAAAGGTAAAAGCATAGCACGATCAGAATGTTTGACCCAAGACACACAAGTTGACCTTGTGCTGGCTCCTCTCCTAAGCACTAAACACCTCTGTTGCCTTTGCATGTAAGCTGGGCTTCTATAGGCCAAAATGAGGCACTGAACGCAATGGCCACCCCTTTTCTACCCTGGCTACCACCGCACTTCCGTCCAAGGGCCCGGACAGACTGACCTGTGCATGCCTTTCCTTCCTTTGCAGGGCAGAGGGACCCCCGGGGGCCAGGCCCGCCTCCTCCTATTGCCGCTGCTGCTCTGGTTGCTCCTTGCCCAGCTGCCCGGTGCAGACCCCTTTTGCCCTGAGTCCTGCCAGTGCTTTGGAAATGTGACCGTCTTCTGCTCCGAAGAGTGCCTTGCCCACGTCCCAGAGGAGATCCCCGACAACGCCACACAGCTCTTTTTTGTGGAGACCTCCCTGGGTTCCCTCCTCAGTGGGGCCTTCGCCAACGGAAGCAGTGGCAACGCCGCCCTCCGCAAACTGGTCTTCCTCTGCAGCCCTCTCCACTCCCTGGGTGAGGGGGCCTTCGCGGGGCTGACTGGCCTCAGGGAGCTGGCCATCTCCTCCAGCCGGCTGACCAGGCTGCATGCCAAGAGCTTCCGTGGCCTGGGCAACCTGAGGGTGCTCTCTGTCCAGTTCAGCCCCGTGGAGACCCTGGAGGAGGCGGTCTTCCACAACACCCCGGCACTCCAGGAGCTCCACCTTCGAGGCAACCACATCAGGGCTCTTCTTCCAGGTGTCTTCCGCCCCGCAGGAGGCCTGGAGACCCTCTCTCTGTCCCAGAACGGCCTCTCCAGCCTGCCAGAGGGGGTCTTTGACCCACTGCCTCGGCTGCGGGTTCTGCGTCTGAGCGACAACAACCTGTCCTGCCTCCCCGTTGAGATCTTCCACAGCCAGACTGACCTCCGAGAGCTCTACCTGGATGGGAATGCCCTGGCTGAACTCCCTGAGGGGGTCTTCTCTGAGCAAACCCACCTGAGGAGGCTTCACCTCCAACACAACGCCCTCCAGGAGCTGCCGGTTGCCCTTTTCTCCTCAATGGCCAACCTGACCTTCTTGCACCTGGACGGCAACCAGCTGAAGGTACTGCCGGAGGGGCTCTTCCTCGGGACCCCCAGCCTGGTGGAGCTCTCTGTGGCCCACAACCAGCTGGAGACCCTCCCAGAAGGACTCTTCGGTGCTCTGCTCCCAAACCTGTCTGTCCTGACGCTGTCCCACAACCGCCTCCACCACTTACCCGCCAGCATCTTCCAGGGTCTGCAGGCCCTCACCCGGCTGCAGTTGGGCCACAACAACCTCAGTGGGCTTCCTCGGGAGTTGCTGGCCAACCTCAGCAGCTTGGAGGCCTTGGACCTGTCGCACAACCAGCTGGTGACTGTTCCGGAGGGCATCTTTGATTACAGCATTGCCCTCTTCTACATAGCTCTGAGGGGCAACCCTTGGGCCTGCGATTGCCACCTGCTCTACCTGGCCGACTGGCTCCAGTACGCCGATGACTTGGTCAATGCGCACGCGCTCTGTGGGAGTCCGACTCACCTCAAGGGGTTCAGCCTCCCAGGGGTCAAGAAAGAGCAGCTGGTGTGCCCTCGGCGCCCTTCTGGCTCAGTCCGCTGCCGGATGGAGGACAAGGACTCCTCCGAGGAAGGAGAGGCCAGCGCCCTGTCCCAATGCACCTACCACGACCCAGAGGGGACCCTCTACCTGGCCTGTGGGCCGGATGCCTGCCAACAGCTCAGGGTCACCCTTCCTGCAGCCGAGGGCACCGGGCAGCACCTGAGTGGGAACTGGACACTGGGCTCCGGCTGTGGGACACTGAGGGTCCGGGTCTCAGTGACCATTGAGAAGGAAGAGCCCTTCAATGGGACGGAAGGTCCATAAGCAGGCGACAGGCGACCTTCCTCTTCCAAGGGCCACTGCAGCCACTGCCTTTGCAGGCCAAACAGTCAGGGACAATGCCTTTGCCTTGGAGCACACAAGAGCACCAGCGCAATGCTTCCCAACCCCCCAAGTGAGGAGAGACCCCTCCAGGACCAAGTCACAGCCCCATACTCATTACCAGACCCGTAGCCAGGGCGGGCGGGGGGGGGGGGCTGGTTTTTTGTTTTTCAGGGGCGCGTTTGGCCGACGAGGAACTTCGAGTTTAAGGCCTAGAAGTTTTCAGGGATGAGGGGGCGAGTCGATGTGACAGAGGTGAGTTTTATACCCTAGACCAAAACCTTTGTATCATTACCCCAAATGCTGCCCCATGCCATCATGCGCCATATATTAGAGCTATGGTCTTACTCTTAGTAGAAAGGAACATGATCATGATATGACATATCAACATAACAGTTTAAATAATAGCATGCAAGAAGGAGCGCCTATTTTTCGACAAACCACCCTATTGAGCAAATTCGGGGTGCGGGGGGCCTGAAAGCCCCCTCAAGCCCCCCCCCCCCAGCGCTATCATGCCTGCTCATTACTAAGGCACCTCCCTCCCTGAGCGTCCCTCTGAAATGTATGGGGTATGTATTTGGGGAAGACTCCTGGAGGGTCAAATGATTGCCCCCTTCCCTCACCTTTCTCCTGGGGGGGGACACGCTTGGCCCAGTTGCCCCCATGGCTCATTTGGGCTGGGAAAGAGCAGGGGGGAGGCTTCCTGGTGGGCCCCTTCCCTCGGAGTGCCATTTGCAGGGAAAAGACATTGAATCCTCCTCCCCGGAGATCTTTTGATCCCTCCACTTTCTGGGTGACTTGGGGCTCTGCAATCAAGTGAATATTCAGCTGTACTTTTCAATATTTTTGTTTCCAGCGGTCATTTTGCTCCCATTGGCTTTTGTGGTGGGATGTGTGTGCGCCTGGTGTTACCCTCACATTGTTTTCCTGGCTGTTTGAATAAACTCATTCCACTGATGACACGCAAACCCACTCTCCTGGTGGCCCACTTTGCTATCTATGCTGGGGCTGCCAGCTGGGCTGCTTCCCTTCCTGGAGATTTCAGGACCAAAATCTGAGACCAGCAGTGCTGCAGAGGGAGGGAGGGAGGGAGGGAGGGGAAGCAGGCCCTACATGGCTTCTGGTGAGGAGGAACAACCCAGAACTCCCTGCCTTCAAGCTGATCTAACCTGCAGCAGGGAGTTCCACAGTTCTCCCTTGCCCAATTGTGCCAGCAGCGATAGGAATGTGATCACAACAGCAGCTGCAACCAAAAGATCTCCTTCTGCTTTTTCTTGCTTTGCTTTCTTCCCCTCACCCTAACATTGTAACAAATCAACCAATAAATTATCAATTAATTGTAACTTTTTCCTCTCCATAGTGATACTTTGTGTCCTTTACTGCCTCCAAACTCTTTCCAGCATGAACTTTCCCTCTCCCGGGCCACAGACAGCTGCTGGCCCACCCGGGATGCGATTCCAGTGTTCCGGGGAGGCCAAAACAGCGTTTCTCTGAACCGCAGATACGGAAATCCATCGGGTCCCCGTATCCGCGGATCAACGGATCACTCCCAAACCGGTGCAATTTTCTCCTAGACTAATTTCAAGACTATTCTGGTTGAGATCAGGGTTAACGGATCCTCTTTCAAGGAAGGACCTCCCCAATTCGTGTTTGATATCATGGTTAACATCCAGATCGTGGGAAGTCAGTCGGACTCTTCTGTTTTAGTCAGCTAGAGTAACCTTGTGCCCAGTTCCAGGCAGGGCGATTCAAGGAGGAGGGGGAAGTGCTGGGATGGGTCCAGAGGAGGGTCACCAAATGGGCAAAGGCCTGGAAATCATACATTCTGATGAGGAGCAACGGAGGGAGCAGGTTGTATTTAGCCTGGAGAAGGGCAAGTGGGGAGGGGAAAGAACAGCCGTGTTTAGATACTTGAAAGGAGATGACACTCAAGGCGGAGCTTCTCTAGGGAGTAGGACACGATGGAGCCATGCCTTCAAACTGCAGGGAAAGAGATTCCACCTGGATGTCAGGAAGAGCCTCCTGACCGTAAGAGCTCTTTGCTGCCCAGGAGTCTGGTGGCATCGCCTTTCCTGGAGGCTTTGAAGCAGAAGCTGGGTGGCCATCTATTGGGAGGGCTTTGGTGGTGCCTTCCTGCCCTGCAGAAGGGGGCTGGACTGGGCGGTCTTTTGGGGTCTGCCCCAACTCCGTGTGTTTATGGTTCCATGAGTCTTTGGGCCTCCGCAGAGCACCTCTTCCTTGAGATCAGGGCCAGGCGTTGGGTGTTATCTCCCTGAGCAGGCCTGAAGCCTTGGGTGCCACCCACAACAGAGCGGGGGGGGGGGGGGGCTGCGCTCTGCGTATCTTCCCAGGGGAGGAGAAGGATGGTCCCCAAAGATAAGCCTCCAGGGACTCAGTCACTTGTACGGAGGACACCTGGGCAGGTAAGTCTGTGGCTGCTCCCTTGGGCCCTTTGGGCTTCCGGAGAGCGCCCCCTCCCCTTCTCCTGCCCTCCCCCCGTTTCAAAGATTAGGATGATAAATGTTAGACCATTCGGCCACCTCTCTCTACTTTATGTAAATTATATATGTGTGTATTTATAAATATTTGTTGCTTGTTAAGAGTGCTGATAGGACAGACTCTTTCCCGACATAGTCGGGGAGTTTTCTTTCAATAGTATACACATGTTTCACTATTATTAGAAGGTCTCAAATTACTATTGAAAATTGGTGGCTTTATATAATGGCGCTCCATGCAGTCATGCTGGCCACATGACCTTGGAGATGTCCACGGACAATGCTGGCTCTTTGGCTTAGAAATGGAGATGAGTACCACACCCCAGAGTCGGACAGGACTGGACTTCACATCAGGGGAAAACCTTTACCTTTACTATATACTGATAGCGATGCTATGATGTGTACACTTTGGAAATCGTAGAATCATAGAATCAAAGAGTTGGAAGAGACCTCCTGGGCCATCATCCAGTCCAACCCCATTCTGCCAAGAAGCAGGAATGTTGCATTCAAATCACCCCTGACAGATGGCCATCCAGCCTCTGTTTAAAAGCTTCCAAAGAAGGAGCCTCCACCACACTCTGCGGCAGAGAGTTCCACTGCTGAACGGCTCTCACAGTCAGGAAGTTCTTCCTCATGTTCAGATGGAATCTCCTCTCTTGTAGTTTGAAGCCATTGTTCCGTGTCCTAGTCTCCAGGGAAGCAGAAAACAAGCTTGCTCCCTCCTCCCTGTGGCTTCCTTTCACATATTTATACATGGCTTATCATATCTCCTCTCAGCCTTCTCTTCTTCAGGCTAAACATGCCCAGCTCTTTAAGCCGCTCCTCATAGGGCTTGTTCTCCAGACCCTTGATCATTTTAGTCGCTCTCCTCTGGACACATTCCAGCTTGTCAAAATCATAAAGAAAAGGCTGAGCAAGCCCCCTCCTCTGCCTGGAGAGTGCCCCTTCCCCGGGCTGCCGGACCCTCAGCGGGAAGCTCCCCCCCCCCGCGGCACCTGGCTGAGTGCGCCCCCCCCCCCAGACCTTTGCACTCCTCTCGCTTGGACCCTCCTTGAGCCTCCTCGTGGAGAGAGAAACAGGGTAGAAATAAACATAATAATAAACATAACAACAACAACAACAACAAAAATAACAGTAATAGTAATGATAATAATCACCCCAACTGACCCCTCTTCTCCTTGACTACATGAATATCCAGATTGGTGGTGAGGGTGGGGGCAGCCTTGGTCCTCCCACGTTAGCCTGGGACACAGAAGAGGAAAGAATGGGGCTGGGAGAGTGTGAGGGAGCCTAGGAGGGTGGGGGGCAGCCCCTTTGGGGACATGAAGAGGGGAAACGGGAGGAAGGTGGGCGCAGGAGCAGCACATATGGTGTTCCACATCAGATACATTTGCCCTGAGGAGGGGTTGCGGGGGGGGGGGGGAAGAGGGAATGGTGTGCGCCTGTGCCTGGGTGGCAGCCACTGGGCTCAGTTGCCCCAGGGTCGGTTCCTCCAGGGCCGGGCCCCCTTCTTGTCCCCTGGACATCCCTTGGAGCCTTGCTGCCCTCGCTCCTCAGGGCCGCTCTCCTTAGAAGCACAGAATCCTGGAGTTGAAGGGACCCCAAGGGCACGCAGCCCAACCCTCTTCTGCCAGGCAGGTTTGATCTGAAGTGACGAAAGGGTCGATTTCGTTGAACACGAGAAGGACCTTCTTCTCAGGGTGACCAGCTGGGCAGTGGGACCAATCGCCCAGAGAGGTGGAAGGGTCTCCTTCCTGGGAGGCCTTCAGAAAGAGGATCTGCAGAAGATGCTGTGAGGTTTCTGGCCTGTAAGGACAGCATGTTCTAGCAGCATTGTCTCCTGTCATTTCAACTGCATCTGTGGCTGGCCTCTTTAGAGGATCTGATGGTAGCCAAGCAAGTGGAGCATGTATACATGTGGAATGATATCCAGGGTGGGAAGAAAGAACCATTGCCTGTTAAACAGATGTGAGGGGTGCAATTAGCAAGCTAGGCAGGTTTGTGTGTGTTGCACCGGGATTGTGGCGCAGCTGGCTGAGTGTCAGCTGCATTAAGATCACTCTGACCAAAAGGTCATGAGTTCGAAGCCAGCCCGGGCTGGAGTGGGTGTCCAGCCATTGTGTAGCCCGTTGTCAACCTTTGCAACTCGAAAGACAGTTGCATCTGTCAAGTAGGAAAATAAGGTACCACCTTGTGTGGGAGGCTAAATTTAACTAATTTATGAGGCCATAAAGAAAAGACTCCGGGGAATGTGGAATGCGGAAGAACTTCATCGGTGTCGTTGATGGACGATGAAAAGCAGCAGCTCCCCTGGCGGCCAGAAAAAAAGTTAAATAGCCTCGGTGTATTTGTCTGTTAAATGTTATTTGTCAAACTGGCATTGAATGTTTGCCATATATGTGTTACTGTAATCCGCCCTGAGTCCCCTGCGGGGTGAGAAGGGCGGAATATAAGAACTGTAAATAAAATAAATAAATAAATAAATAAATAAATGGGATCCACCCATGGGCATGTAACCACAAGGACCCCATACTCAATTAGTGAAGGCATCTGCACATAAGTAGCCTGTCCTTGGTTCCCTTTGAATTGTTTGCTGCCTAGAGACATGCTTTAACTGGCATTCAGCAGGGGCTAGACTGGACGGCCTCAGGGTGACCCTTCCAATTCTGGGATTCTGTGAATTTTGGGGAACTTGGTTCCACTGGAACTTGGTGACCTGGAACTTGGTTCTAGATCACCTTCTCAGGACCCTTTAGAAACTGTGTGGGCAGCTCTCTGCTGCTAGAGGCACTTGAGACCAGGCCTGCACAACATGCCAGAACCCTCACCAGGCTTTTCCACACAGAACCCCATGATCACCAGAGTGGGCCACAGCAACGCGTGGCAGGGGACGGCTAGTCTATATAAATAAAAAAGTAATGTTTGTTTGTGGGATTAACATATCTCAAAAACCACTAGATGAATTGGCACCAAATTTGGACACAAGACACTTGAGACCAGGCCTGCACAACACGCCAGAACCCTCACCAGGCTTTGCTGCAGCCATCAGAAGCTCTAAGCTTTAATGAGGGAAGCCACCTGCAGCACTACATCAGCGCAGCAACTGGAACCCACCATCTCCCCTTCATGTGTTCATGCATAGCCAAAAACCTACCTGCAGCCCTAAGAGCCTGTTTTCATTTTGGCCCCTTGCTCCTGACAGGTTGTGCAGGCCTGTTTTACATGGAGATCCTCCATTGATTTAGAGGGATGGACTCCATGGCCTCTGGGGGATCCTCCCACTTCTAGGGTCCCATAGAGCAGGCCACATCCAGAGGAGATGGCCTGGTGCAATCTGATGCAGCGTCCTCAGAAGCAAATCCTCCTCCGTTGGTGAGGGGCATTCTTCCAAGAGAGGGAACTCTGAGACCTGTGGTCATTTTCTTTCCTACCAGGTCTCCTACCAGCCTCCATGGACTGAGAGGGTCAAGAGAGAGGTCCAAACGGAGCAAAGCCAGGGGGGCTCTGTGGTGAGAGATGCTTGTTCTTCCTTCGTTCCTTCCTTCCAAAATGTTGCCCAGGACCATCCTCTTCTTCCTCCTTCTTCTCTTCCTCCTCTTTGCCATTAGCAAAGGCCAGACTCCTTGCAGTGGAACCGGGACACATGACTGCCCAAAGCCTGGCGAAGATGTCTACACCAAAACCAGGGACATCACGGAGATCCCCAAGACCCCCGACCCCAGCATTACGAAGATGTTCTTTGTGCAAACCAGCCTCACTGAAATCCCTGCGGGAGCCTTCCGAAGCAGGCCCAACCTGGTGACCCTGGAGTTCATAGACAACAAGATCCGGACAGTCGAGGCCGGAGCCTTTGACGGCCTGGAGAAACTGGAGGAAATGGAAATGTCCGGGGCCCAGTTGGGGAGTTTGCCCGTTGGCACCTTCCGGGACCTGCCTCACTTGAAGAAGCTCAACCTGAAGAACTCCCAAATCACCTGGTTGGAGAAGGGTCTCTTTGACCACCTTGGAAACCTGGAGGAGATGTACCTGCACATGAACAGGATCCCTTCCCTTCCTGACGGGGTCTTTGATGAGCTTCCAAAACTCAGCTATCTACACTTGGCCGACAACAGAATTTCCAGGATCCTGAGGGACACCTTCAGGCCCCTGACCCAGTTGAAGACCCTTCGGTTGCACAGGAACCAGCTCAGCAGCCTCTCAGAGGGAAGCCTGGACAGCCAGCATAGCTTGACCGAGCTCAACCTCGCCAGCAACAAGATCCGGACCCTACCGCCCAATCTGCTGAGGAACCTGTCCAACCTGGGCAAGCTTTTCCTGGAGAAGAACCAGATCGAGGTTCTCCCCAATGGGACATTCTCCGGGTTGAGGAAGCTGCAGCTGCTGAACCTGGCTTCCAACCAGCTGAAAGCACTCCCTGATCAGATGTTTGGAGAGATGCCTCAGCTCTCTGAGCTCGACCTGAGCAAGAATTGGATTTCTTCTGTGGAGGGCCTGGTGCCGTCTTCTCTGCCACAGGTGGCTACCCTCAGGCTCAACCAGAACCGTCTGGAGAACGTCCCTGAAGGTCTCTTTGACAACTTTGGGAAGCTGACCTCGGTGTATCTTGGTGAGAACCCATGGCGGTGTGACTGCCACCTTCGCCCCTTCCTCCAGTGGATCAGTGGTCATCCCAAAAAAGTGAAGGATGCCTCCAAGGTAACGTGTGTGAGCCCTGATGATCTTGCTGGGAAAGCGGTCAGATCTCTGACGGAGGAACAACTGATCTGCCTGACCACCAGCCCCCCTTCCACCACCATGGGCACCACGAAATTGACCACTGCCACTACCAACAGAAAAGCCACCACCCTTCCAGCTGCCACTGAGAAATTCTCCACAACCTATGTTACTACAATCACCATCCCCAAGACTACTCCTGCCAAAGCTCCCACCACAACCTCCGAAATCCCCACCAGCCCAGGGGTATCTGCCACAACTCCAAGGATTGTTCTCACCTCAGAAAGTCCCACTGAAACCTCACAGATCGTGACCACCAGTAGGACCTCTCCTGATACCACCAGCAGCAGGAGAGAAACACCAACTCCACAGATAATCACCACTCACTCAGCTATGTCCACAGAGACACAGCCTCAGACCACTGTGGAGGCTTCAAGTACAACCTCTGCATCCATCACAACCAGAACCACAACCCCTACAGTGGCCTGGATGGTCAGTGAGACTTCCTCTGCCACCTTCGAAATCAGCGCTTCAGTCAAGAAACACTCCAAAACCACCACTGAGATTTCTGATGTAGCCTCTGAGTCCATCACAACTACAACTCCCCAAATTACGTCAACCACAACCAATGTCCCATCTACAACCCCTCGAGTCACAAGCATAAGGAATATCCAAGGCACAGTCAATGAGTTCACCGTAGGTCAGACTTGGATGCCATGGATGACCACAGGAGCATTTCTTGGCACCAGCCCCTCAACTACCACCATGCAGGTTGTCACCAAGGCCACCACAGCACCTACAGTGGCCTCCGATGCCCCCACAAGTATCCCTGAAATGACCAGCACATCTCCATCACGCAAGACCTCCCAAGGTGAGACCTTATCTCCTGTAGGCACAACTGCAATGTTCTCCAACACCAGTTCTCTCATTCACTGTCCCTCTAAACCCTCCTCCACACCTGCAGCACAAAGCCCCTCCCAGACCCCCACCCTACATGCTTCAGTGGCCACACTGGCAGGTACTTCTCCCCTTATGGACACGACCACAATGCCCTCCCCTCACTCCACATCCAACAGCACTTGGAGCTTCCCCGTTTCCCCCTTCCCAGCGGCAGGGACTTCTCCCCAAAGCTTTGGTGTCTCTGGGCCTCGATCCCAGAGCCAGGGCTGGGGCTTCTTCCTGAGCAGCAATTACCATTACTGCCGAGTGGCGTGTGTGATGTACTCCACCATGCTGTGCATTGAAGTCTGCTGCACGGCAGCCTTGGCCACATTTGTGTACACACTGCGCAAGGCCACAAGCATCCAAGAGGCCCCGGTGGGTTCTGTGAGGCTGGTGGACATCAGGCGCAGGAAGGAGAAGCTCTGAAGGGCTGCAGGGAGCAGGAAAGGCAGCTCCTTCGCCTCCCTGGCCACATCACAGGTTGCCATCCTAGGAACACCCAGTGCTCTGGCCGCTGCCCACTCCTAGCTATTCTTGGCCATGTCCTCTTGAGCTGGAGGGGCGGCTCTCACAGGATGTGGATGACAGGGACGCATTTCACTGCAAAGTGCCCACACAGGCGCCCCAGGAACCGTCTGGAGTCTAGGACAGGGGCCGTGAAGATCCACTGGTTGCGGATCCATCTGAACCTAGGGATGTTTTCTTCCTTACTGGGTCTGGGGGATGCTCTGAGGGGCGGCAGCAGGACCAGGTCCAATCGGGGCCAGTGCTAGGGCCAAGGCTGGACACAGCAACAAAGGGATTGTGCGTGTTCCCATGGGAGCGGCGTGGCTTCTTCTCCAGGGGAGGTGCCTGTTTGCTTCCCGGGAAAGCTACATTTCTGAGTTTGGCAATGCGTCAGCACTCGCCCGGTCCTCACAGGTGCTCCACATATTTCGTCTCAAGTTCTGCTCTGCATAGAACATGCAACGATTGGTTTCAGCAGATTTTATGGCTCATTCAGGAATTTCCAGTGAGTTATTTTAATACGCTGTTTCTGGCTAGATTGAGGCTGCAGCGCCCATTGAGGGTTTGGTGGACGCCCCAACCTCCAGTTGCATTTTCATGCCTTCGATTCCCTTATTGCCCTGAGATGCTATGCTAACGTTTGTGAATTGTTCCAGGTTCTTCTTTCTTTGTTCCTCCTGTCATAATAAACGTGTTCTCGTCAGAAAATAATAACCCCCGTTAACATTTTTGCCCAGTTTCCAAAGCTGGGCTTCAGTTGTGGAGTTACAGATTTGCAGTCTGTAGCTGGTCTCTTTTCCTGCAGACAAAGTGGTCTAAGTGGAACCCATTTGTAATTGTCCCTCCACATTTGCACTCCAGACTTGTTATGAATGTGATCAAAATGTCTCCTCTAGGAATCTGTACATTCTTCCAGGTCAACTTCCTCAAGTCCTGCTGGCCTGGTGGGATCCGGTGGAATCTCCTTCCTTCTCTGGAGGTTTAAAGCAGAAGCTGGATGGCCACCTGTTGGGAGGGCTTTGATTGGGTCTTCCAAGGGTGCTTGCAAGGGCCATCCAGTGTAAGCCTCTTCTGCCATAGAGGAAGACTCAATCAAGCCCTCCCAACAGGTGGCTCCACAGTCACTTATGGACCCACCGCCAAGGCTCTCCCCTTGGAAGACAATCAGACTCATGGGCCACGTGTCATAACCTATGATATGATGCATTGGGAAACTGGGGGTTCTTCTACACTGCAGAATTAATGTAGTTTGTTGGCACTTCTAACTGCCATGTCTCAATGCTATGGGATCCTGGGAGTTGTAGTTTTGCCAGGTCTTTAGCCTTCTCTGCCAAAAGGGCTGGTGCTCACCCAGCCATGTCAGATTAAGCAGCATCAAATAGCATTAACTCTACAGTGTAGATGAACCCAAAGGCAGGAAGAAAGGAACTGCCCAAAGCCAAGGTGAGTGAGTATGTGTTCTCGAAGGCTTTCTTGGACAGAATCACTGGGTTGCTGTGAGTTTTTAGGGCTGTATGGCTACCTCTATGCAGATTCCCTCACTGATTGACTTTGCAGCTTCCTGGCTACTTGATTCTGTTCAAGCTTAATTGCAACATTCACACTTGCTTCAAACAGACACGGGTTATTTCTCCCACCCGGGACATGATCCCACAGGGATATATCCACCTCACTTGCTTCACTGTCAACAGAACCTCTGAAGATGACATTAGCCACAGATGCAGGCAAAACGTCAGGAGAGGATGCTGCTGGAACATGGCCACGCAGCCCAAAAAACTCACAGCAACCCAAGGTGAGCAGATGCCTACATGAAGAGTACAACCCACACTGCTGGTCTTCGCTGGATGCTGTGGTGACTGGAGGAGCCCACAAGAGCCCTTCTTCAAGGGAGGGAGTGGGCAAGTGCCACATATTACATGGAAGAAGGGCTTCCAGATGTTGCTGGGTGGTGGCCCCCATCAGCCCATGAGAGAGAATGAGAGAGAGAGATGGGAGTCCAGCAAGGAGTGGGAGTCCAGCAAGGTCTGCCCTGGTGTCTGATCTGAATGCTGGGCTCTGGCTCTGGAGACCAGGGTTCGAACCCCAGCTCAGCCACAGAGAAGTGGGCAAGTCACACTCTCTCAGCCTCAGCTGACGCAAAGGCCCAAGCAGACCCTGGACGGGGTTCATCCTGCGTGACTCCCAAAAGGAGGCCTTCTTGTTTGCCTGGAGGCATTCCACGGGAGGGAGGGGGCAGGGGGAGGGAGAGGAAGCCCACCCCAAAGCGCCCATGAAAGACCCAGAGGCCCAGAGGGTCAACCTGTGGCCTTTCCCTGCCCATCAGCCTGCTTGCATTATTCTCTCTCTCGCTCTCTCTCTCTCTCTCGTCCAGCTCTGCCTGGGACTTCCATGGTACAAGGTCGCCCCCCAGCGGCAGGAAGAGGAACTTCAAGAAAGATTATTAACTCTTGGCAGGCTGGGAGGGCAGCTGTCCAAAAGGCAAAGCCAGGCCTCTTGCCAACTTATAGAATCACTAGCTGTCCCCTGCCACGCGTTGCTGTGGCCCAGTCTGATGATCTGGAAAATAAAGTAATGAGAAAGTGTTGGTTTCTAATATATGTCATTCCTTTCTGCTTGTGGGTAAACAGTATTTCTTGTTTCTTTGTCAGTGTTGATGTGGAGAGGGTCTGGTTTGCCCACCCTGGAACATGCAACATATCATTGTCCTTCTTTAAGGGTCCCTTTCAAATCTATAATACTACTATGTGTGTGTGTGTGAATCATATCTATCTATCTATGGCTGGATGGCTCTTTGTCAGGAGGGCTTTGATTACGTTTTCTTGCCCTGGTGAAGGGAGTTGGACTGGATGGCCTTAAGTATTTTCTGTTGGTCATGGGGGTTCTGTGTGAGAAGTTTGCCCCAATTCTGTCATTGGCGGGGTTCTGAATCCTCTTTGATTGTAGGTGAACTATAAATCCCAGTAACAACTCTCAAACATCAAGGTCTATTTCCCTCAGACTTCATCTGTGTTCATATTTGGACATACGGAATATTTGTGCCAAGTATAGTCCAGATCCATCATTGTTTGAGTCCACAGTGTTTTCTGGATGTAGGTGAACTGCAACTCCCAAAGTGAAGGTCAAGGCCCACCAAACCATTGTAGTGTTTTCTGTTGGTCGTGGGAGATCTGTGTGCCAAGTTTGGTTCAATTCCATCATTGGTGGAGTTCAGAATGCTCTTTGATTGTAAGTGAACTGTGAATCCCTGTGACTACAACTCCCAAATGTCAAGGTCTATTTCCCCAAACTCCATCTGTGTTCATATTTGGGCGTATTGAGTGCTTGTGCCAAGTTTTTTCCAGATCCATAATTGTTTCTCTGGATGTAGGTGAACTACAACTCCCAAACTCAAGGTCAATGCCCACCAAACCCTTCCAGTATTCTCTGTTGGTCATGGGAGTCCTGTGTGCCAAGTTTGGTTCAATTCCATCGTTGATGGAGTTCAGAATGCTCTTTGATTGTAGGTGAACTATAAATCCCAGCAACTATAACTCCCAACTGACAAAATCATAATGTTTTGAGTGATGGTCACTCCTTGTGTTGTGAGACGTTTTGTTGCCAAATTTGGTGTGATTTTGTTCATTGGTTCTTTTGTTTTTAAGGAACTCTTTATGCACAGAGCATTTATATATATATATATATAGATAGAAACATTGAGTTGGAGGAGACCTGCTGGGCCATCCTCCAGTCCAACCCCATTCTGCCAAGAAGCAGGAAGATTGATTCAAAGCACCCCCGACAGATAGCCATCCAGCCTCCAAAGACGGAGCCTCCACCACACTCCGAGCCAGAGAGTTCCACTGCTGAACGGCTCTCTCTCCCAGTCAGGAAGTTCTTCCTCATGTTCAGATGGAATCTCCTCTCTTGTAGTTTGAAGGCATTACTCCCTTGCGTCCTAGTCTCTCTCCAGGGAAGCGGAAAGGAAGCCTGCTCCCTCCTCCCCTTACTTTCAGTCCTCCTGTGGCTCCTTTGAGGCTCAAGGAGAGAGCCCAAGGGGTGGGTTTTATCCGCTTTCCTACTCTGGGTCTCCTTCGTCAGGCTCAAAAAGCGCAGCCTGTCATCTTCCTGCTCTCAGTTAATCTCTGCGGTGTTCCAAGCTCCCTCTGCATGCTGAGATGATGCCAGGCACACCCAGCCACGCCGGACTTTGCTCTGGTTTGTGCAGGCCACACAGCAGCCACGGACCTTCTGTGTTGCACACAATTGCCAGCTTGTTCCTGGGATCCTGGGGTTGGAAGAGGCCCCCAGGGGCCATCCAGCCCAACCCCCTTTTGCCTTTCAGGACACACACCTCCCAAGCTCGGCCATCCGGCTTCAGTATAAAAACCTCATGGAATGCTAGAGTTGGAAGAGACCCCAGGGGTCATCTAGCCCAACCTGCTTCTGCCAGGCAGGAACACACAACCCAGTTCCTCCCAACAGACTCTGCTTACCCCGTTTGCATTCTTTTTTCCAGCCAGCTTTGTTGTTCATTTGTTCAGTCGCTTCTGACTCTTCGTGACCTCATGGACCAGCCCACGCCAGAGCTTCCTGTCAGCTGTCACCGCCCCCAGCTCCCTCAAGGTCAGTCCAGTCACTTCAAGGATGCCATTCATCCCTCTTGCCCTTGGTGGGCCCCTCTTCCTTTTTCCTTCCATTTCCCCAGCATCATTGTCTTCTCTAAGCTTTCCTGTCTTCTCATGATGTGGCATTCAAAGGACTTCATCTTTGCCAGCCAGCATCACATGGCATTTCAAGACCTTTGAGGACTAATGCTCCCAGATGCCATGGGGTCATGCTCCCTGGAGGATGCTAGGACTAACAGTGTGGATCATGCTATACATGTGGGCATCCACTCAGCTTGGCTTTGGGCAGTACCTTTCCTCTTGACTTTGGGGGCATCTACACTTTGAAGTTAATGCTGTTTGACCCCACTCTACCTGTGGGTCCTGAGAGATGTGGTTTGGTGAGGCACCAGCCCTTTTTGGCAGGGAAGGCGAAAGACCTGATGAAACGACAACTCCCAGAATTCCCTAGCATTGAGCCATGGCAGTTAAAGGGCCGACAAACAGCATTAATTCTGCAGTGCAGATGCACAACGAGTTTCCCAGTGCATCATATCATAAGCTATCCCTTGTGGCCCAAGAGCCTGATGATCTTCCTAGGCTAGAGTCTTGGCAGTGCGTCCGTAAGGGACTGTAGAGACCTATCTGGATCCACGTGGCCTTTCTTTCACAGCGAAGACATAGGTTTCCAGGTGGAAGGCGGCCCTGACCAGGGTTTGCTTGAGGCTCCTTCATCCTCTGGGCACATTCCTCCCCTTTGCCTCCATCCTGCCTCTTCCAAATCCCTGGCACCAGAGTTAGCCACAGTTGACCTCCAGTCCCAACCCTTGAGGGACAGGCGTTCCCAGTTCTCTCTCCGTGTTGGTGCCCATTTTAAGGTTGGCTTTAAGCCCTCCTTTAAATCTCTTTTGTTGTCTCTGTTTTCCAACAATGTTCCATGTTCCAGAGTTGATGTGTCTTTTCTGACCACAAGGTGGTGACCCCTCTGGACATGGAAATCTAGTCAGGGATAGGTAGCGAGTATCCTCAAAAGGGCTGCTCAGTCGTGGATACAGCTGCCGAACTACTCAACTCCCTCGGACCCTGAGGTAGAACAACTGAGTCCACATCCACCACCCATGTGCCCGTCTGTGACCAAGGGCTTC